ATCTTACAATGCTGTGATTGCAGCCATTCCCCAATTCTCTGTGAATGGTACTCATGACGAGTGACGAAACGTTTCTCCCAGAAAACGCTACGTCCAGATGAACAGAATCAACTTTTGGAGATGTTGTCAACACAGTTTTCACTGCAGTGCACTATGATGGCTCAGAAGTTAAAACGAGCCTTCGCTTTGGGCGAAGGTTGGTGGTTCGATCGCCAGCTCATCCACTTGTTGATGTGTACTTGGGCACATCAACATAATTTCATCATAGTATAAATAAATATGAAAGAATAAAAGCACATGGTTTTAGCGTTCAGTTACATGCCGTATCACCTCCCTACATTAAAAGCAAATTTACATTAGAAAACAGTAAGAGACCATATTATGTTTTCCTCAAACAGACAGTGGACATCCATAAGGAGAAGGTGGCCCGCCGAGAAATCGGCATCCTGACCACAAACAAAAACACCTCTCGTACCCACAAGATCATAGCTCCGGGCAACATGGAGCGGCCGGTGCGCTACATTCGAAAGCCTATCGACTACACGCTGCTGGATGATGTAGGACACGGCGTCAAGGTAAGGAAAATATTCTTCATTGTGTTAAAATAAAAGCCTTATAACAAGGAGTAGGAGTAAAGTCGTCTCTGCACTATTCCACCATAATTACTACCAAACTGTTGCATCTGTCCATTACTTTGATAAATTGCCGTGTTTTCCCCCAGTAATCAATTATCCCAGAGAGGAATACACATACTTAGTCAAGTTTACACCTGGTACTTGCATGTGAGCATCCTCACTGTCTGCATTCATAATTCATTCACACACTCCCACCCAGGCTGCGAGCTGATCAATACGCTGGCCTTTTAGTTGATTAAGCACAGAAACACTTCAGCCCATCCAAGAATAGCTGCACAGGCAAGAGTTTTTCATGCCCGGTAACAATTACCCAAGCTGCTAGTTATTAATCGTCTGTGTGTGTGTTTTTGAGGGAACTATCATGGCCAAGTGTTACTCACACCATCACACTCTCTTCAAATTGTAAAAAAAAAATCTTTCAGTCTTTCTTCCGCCTCATTCTTCAGTTTTTTTATTCTCTCTCCCCATGATCCATCCTCTCCTCGCCCCTCTCTTCCTCTATTTCACAAGACTGTGTGTCTGTGCTTGTGTCAGCGTGCACACACAGTTATACGCACTGATTGCCTGTGTCATAAATTTCCATAGTGCGTGTGTGTCAGTTGGCCTCTGTATCCCTTTCCCCTGGTCTGTCTCTGTTGAGATAGTGGCTGTCCGCTGATTTTCAAACATCCGCTGATTCAAATTCAAAAGCTAGTGTTTCCTCCTTTGAGAGCTGGCTCACACTGAGACGGATTTGGCATGGCCCACTATGCAAATTGAGCATCATTCAGGAATGATAGAAATGACAGATCTCTGCAGAAATCAGCACATTGTAGATGCAAGAAAATCTGCAATCTTTTCTTTTTTTGTCCATCTGGAAATCTGCAAAAGGAAACAGCAGTTCGTGCTTATAAGACGCGAGTCTACATTTGGATGAGCATTATGAATGTAATGAAGTTGACTTATTTTAACAAGGTTTAGATAATCAGTTTGGGCTTGTGAAATGCATTTTTGGATTCAAAGCTCTCTGGCTGCTGGCTCCTTTTTAATTCTCTTCCTTGCTACTTGTGTATGTATGTAAAGGCGCTTATGGATGTGCATTTGTGCAAACGAGAATGTATACAGTTTGTTTCTCATGCACACATATATAAATCTGTGAACTGCTCAAAAAGCTCAACCTAAGAGACAGCATCCCAGACATTTTTCAATATGTGTGGCCCGACTAAATATCTGCACACCTGAATGTGCCATAGGTGTGCCAGAGAAAGACTTTCACAGTATCCCCTGCACGTCATTTTGCTATACGTGTATTAAATTACAATCAGGTGTTTGTGAGATATAACAGTAAGCAAGTCAGTGTGCGAGAGTTAGATTAAATTTTTTGGTGGGATTTTATTTGGTGACTGCTGAAGTTTCAAAGTTAATTGACTTTTTCTTAACGTGTTAAGCAGGGAAACATTATCCAGGTTAGTTTTCTTCTTATATTTGACTTATGCTTAGTCACTGTGTCACTATTATTGTACTATAAGGATGAATGTCATTGGATATCAAGAAAGGATATCAAGATTTTAATGGTACCACTGCTCCTAGCAGTATGCTGTTGCTCATGGCACCTTGTCGCTATATTTAGATTTAGACTTTAAATTAAAGTAGTTATTCAGTGACAGTAGCTCATTAGAAAAGAAGGAAAATGGCCTTGATTTTGTTTGTATCTCCAACTCCAATCACTGATAAAAGACACAGCTCAGTAATTTTTTTTCTATGAAGTCAGAAAAATCATTATTGCAGATTTCTTTGAGACATTGTGATATAATTTCGACCCCTATTCACTACTGTTACAGCCGCCACATAGAAATACACTATATTCAGAGGTTTATTAATGCAGGTGTGTGGGTATGTTTGTAATTATGCTTTCCTGCATTTATGAGTCTGGGCTGTGTTCCTGCCGTGCTGGGAAATATTAGCAGCTTATTAGCGCTCTATCCTCACAGCCCATTTCCTCTTGGCTGAGGTGGATTCCCTCAAGCTTTTAAGGAGCACTCATCCACCCCCATCCCTTTTCTCCCCCACGTCCAGGGGAATTTATCCACAGATAGATGGGAAATCAGTCTCAAACTTGGAAAGACCCATTCATGCATGTGTGGACCACTGTGTTCAACCCCTCACCGTAATGGCTTTTTTTTTTTGGCATTTTCTGGCAGTTACCATGGTGATAGGTTTAGCCACATTGCAGCCACTCAGAGACTCTGCTGTTATTTATGACCTCACACCAGTTTACTACCCAATTTTTTATTTTCCTGGTACGACACTTAAAACATGTAGCTCAGCCGCTCCTCGTTATTCACAGTGACTAGACACTAAAGTGACTCTTATCCTGATTACAGTCTGCAACACAGATCCAGATACAGACATAGAGGGAACAAAACAAAACATAAACAGTGTTTCCATGTCCTTTTTTTTTTTTTCAAATGTTTGTGTACAAAGTGGAACAAAAGGAAGCGAGCTCTTCCTCTGTGTTGGTTAAAACCTAAATTGGGTTATTTGGTGTGACTTCTACTGCAGGCAGGTGTTCAAGTGAACATAGGAGTAACTGACATTAAAGGCTAGCATTAATAATATATAATAATCAGATAAACATTAAATGTATTAATGTTTAAAGTTGCCTTTCTTCAGTTTTATATTATTGTAAATTGAACCTCCTTTATGCTGCTAGAATTTGGCTTATAATGAAGTATAGTTTGAACAGTATTAAAATTGTAATTATAGATTCAGTGTGATGAGCAGTCTGTGACCTGGAAAATTAGCAGCACACACACGGTAGTGGTTCACAGTCTTTCCCACATAAAAATATTTGTGGATTGTGAAATGGTCTAAATACACTCAACTGTATTCATGTGAGAAAAAGGAGGCAAAGCCTTACTTTACACTTGCTCTGAACACACCAATACACTCCCTTCCTTTTTTCTTCTTGATTCTCTGTCAGCATCGTGTAGTGTGGGTACAAAGTTACTGTTACCAGTCTTTAACCAATGAGCTTGTTTTTTGTCTTCTCTTTCTGCCTGCTTGCACTCAGTGGCTTAAGGCCAAGGTAAGAGATGCTTGTGTTTCTCCTGTTATTGTCCATAAATTGATGTTCAGAGCCACATTATCAAGGTGCACATGAAGCCATGAAACATGTATTTCTACCTTTGAGATGCATAGAAGGATGTACACTTTTAATCAGTTACACATTGTTTTTACAGTAAGAAACTAATCGGATTTGGTGCAAAGGCAGTCCAATAAAGCAGGATCAGTGTATATAATAAGATATTTAATGTGTATGTTGTATAATTAGATTTACAATCTCTTCACCCATCTATTACTATTAATCATACACTCTTTATGTAAGATAATAGACACCTTCATACTGGTGCTTCGTGTTTTCTCCATTCATACAGTACAGGTGAACCTCATCCGAATTTGCTTGTTCATCATCGTTGAAATGACTCCTGAGAGTCAGGTTCATTGGTAGGAAAATCGCTACATTACAGAAAACCAGGCTTTTAACTTGCTTTTTTTTTGTCTAGCAACATGGGAACAATGCGGCGGGACGAGGGGGGACCCTTTCAAGGACCAACCCACCTTCACAGAAGCCTCCAAGCCCTCCCATGGCTGGTCGTGGTACCCTTGGGTAAGAACCTACAGTTTAAATTGCGTGGTGTAAGAGGTCGTGGTCCCATCTGGTCTCTGTTAAACTGGGGGCTTCCTGCCAAACCAGTGAAACACACAGTAGGTTATGAATGCAGAGATATATTTTAGCAAGCAGTTAAAATGTTTAAAGTTTCCCTATTCTTTATTTTATTCTCTTACTTTCATGAAACTGAAAACGAACTCTACTTTCCTCTTTCCTGTGTTCACCTGACTCCAGACGTAACACTCCCTACAAAACACTGGAGCCTGTGAAGCCCCCAGTGGTGCCAAATGACTACATGACGAGCCCGGCCCGACTCGGGAGCCAGCACAGCCCCGCGCGCACAGCGTCTCTCAATCAGAGACCCAGGACACACAGGTAGCACAGATCCATTTAAACTTTGTTTACAGGCAAATGGGGCACAAATGTTAAGTAGATGCATTTAAACCACTTGAGAGGAGTGAAATAAGCCGATGTAAGCAAATATGTAAAGAAATGACCTTGTAACTTTTTTGAGTGAGACTGACGAGGCCCTCTAACCTGGTGCAGATATGAAGACAACGTGAAACGGCTGATTAGTGTTTTCTTATTTAAAAATGCTGCTTTTTTTATCAGATAACCTTCCTGACACTAGGGAAACACCAGTGTTTTTTCGAATTGAAATGTTTGGTTTAAAAAAAATGTAAAAAATTATTAGTAAAATTGGAATCAGCAGATAAGACTTTTAAAAAATGAGATATTTACATTTCTTTATTAATTCCTTCAGTCTGTGCTTTTGACCTTTGGATCTCTTCCTTTTTGTCTACATAAACGTCTCTTCTACGTGCGCCGCAGCTTCTTCGCAGAAATCGATATTGGTTGCCATAGTGATGGGCACATTGTTGCAGACAGAGTGACATATGAGAGACTAATGATAGGATGTCAAACTTTGTTATGTAATTACGTTTGTCTCACACATTTCTACTGATTGCCACGAACTCTCTCCTGGCTCTCCGTGCAGTGGCAGCAGTGGTGGCAGTGGTGGGAGGGAGAACAGTGGAGGCAGTGGAGTCGGTGTCCCTCTAGCAGTTCCCACACCCTCTCCTCCCAGTATGGGGCAAGGTGAGTTCCCAGCGCTGCTGTGTCTCCTCGTCTCCTGCATGTGTAACACTGATGAAGCGCCAATGAATCAATACAGGCTAGGTATTGAGTGAAATATTATGGTTATTATTAATCAGAAGATTTAGGAATGCTACTGGAGCTGATGGGCAGTAATTAATAAATACACACAACACAAAATGCTTTTGCAGGTACCATG